CATCTGAGAATTTCCCGATTCTCCCCCACTTAGATCACTAACCACTACCCGTTGGTGGCGAGGCTGATACGCCACTTAACCGAGTATTACCATTCTTAACTTTAGAGGGGTTAACCCACGCAAAGCAATCCTCCCAATACGAAGTAACGAACTTTAAGAGAATCCGAATTCCCGCTAATGACCTTTGATTTTCCGAATACCACTACTCCCCCTAGACTGGCGATCCCCTATCCTAACTCCTTATCCTCGAATGCCTCTTTGGACCCTAACCATCTACACTCCCTTGACAATAAAGTCTCTCTAACCTCTCTTATATCCTAATAACTTATGCATAAAGAAAATGAAAGGTCATAATATAATCATAAGCAAATAAATAGGAGAAAAGACATACCGGTCTCCACATCAGGTACTGTCCTGGCCTCCTCGGCTGTAAGCTGGAAGGCACGTCCTTTATCCTTCGGAGGCTCTACTCTACCCAGACCCCAGCCAGTAATCCTCAAGGCGGCCGGCGCTGGAGCCTGCACCGGCCAAGCAGCTAGTAGGGGAGACTGGGCTTTCATATGGCCCACCTGCTCATAATGGTAACAAATCCTGACACCAGCCCCTGGAGTCTGCTGCCAACAATCCTTCGCGATGTGACCCTACTTGCCACAGTTGTGGCATCCTGAAGAAGATCGGCAAACCCCATCGTGTACCTTGCCGCACTTTCCACAAGTACGACTCCTCTAACTCCCTTGTTTGTAATCAGCGGCCCTAACCCGTTTCGGCACAGGCTAAGACTACGTCGGGGCCTCTCTCTGCTCTCTCAGTTATAGCTCAATCTCCAACTCTCGCCGCCTGGCGGCCTCCTGTAACTCTAACAAGGTATCGCATCTCTGTGTGGACACGAACTATATGATGTCCGTCTTGAGCATGCTCAGATATTGGGTCATCTGAGCCTGCTCCGAAGCAAACTCAGGGCAAAACATCACCCTCTCAGTAAACATGCAGGTGATCTCCGTCACCGACTCTGCATCCTGTCACAGATCCAAGAACTCTTGCGCTAGCCTCTCCCGCTCAACCCGCGGGACATAACGGGTACGGAACATATCCCGAAATCGATCCCAAGTAACCACAGCGTGCTGCTCATCCGAATATGATCCAGTAATCAACCTCCACCAATCCTTTGCTACGGACCTCAGGAGGTTCAGAGCACACCTGACCTTCTGGTCAGCAGGACATGAACATGTGAAGAAACATCCCTCCACATCACATAGCCACCTCATGACTAAAATCTTATCCTGAGTACCATCAAATGTTGGGGGCTTCGTGTTATCAAAGTCCCGGTACTGAAAAGCTCGCCCGACTCCTAACCCTGTCGTCGATACAGCTGTTGTGGCTGCGGCGGCAGCCGCCTTAGTGAGGGCTGCATAGCGATCATCGAAATACTTCACCATAGCGATGTTGATAGACCCAAACATCTCCGGCAACTGAGCCCGAAACATAGCAGCAACCTCATCATGCAGGATCTCCCCGATCCTGGCATCCATCTCGTCTGGCCTCATATGGCTGATAGTCTCGGGCGCTGTCGGCGCTTCTTGTCCGGCCTCTCCTTATCCTGACCCGGATGCAGTCACGAATCGTTTTGTAACCACCATGATGAAAACATGCCGAAAAGATATCAGATACTCCTCATAACAATCCGGGAACCAACTCCCAACCATAAACCCTAGGGTTGTGACTTCCTTGCTATGCGTGTAGGTCCTGTGCTTTCAGTAGTACAGGCCCATACTTCCTTCCACACCTACCCATATTTGTCTCAAGTATCATCACAACGCCATAAAACTATACATAAACATAGCGATGGCTCAATCCTCACTCCTAGAGGAATGCTAAGTATCTCATAACCGGTAGACTCATCCAAACTACCCATCCATCCATCGACTGCCACACGACCCTCCTTTGGTGCTAGTTAACTATTGAATGAATACAATCACATGTCGCATGGCTTAAACAATCTTAGACTAAAATATTTAATCCTACAACAATTGGACTCAGACAAGAGCTGCGCAGCATGACCAAATCCCTTACCCTAAGACCATTTAACCCATGTAGCATTTGACTTAGAGTATTCACCAAATAGTTAGTTCACACACGAAATAGTCACAAAAAATCAATGAGGTACTCTACATAAGATAAGGCATCAAAGATCAGACAATTCTATCATACGATTCCTGAGGATCCCTATCTTAGTACTAGCGTACTGTTCTAACATATCACATAATATTAAACAATTTGTATGATATTTTGGGGTCTACTTACTGGCTCCGGCTGGTCGTACACTTGTATCCTCCTTTATTATTTTGAAAACCATTTGAAAACAATTTTGAAAATCTTTTCCTTGATTTGAGACTGGAGTCACACGAGTGTTCCTCCAATTCACTCAAACCAAGGCTCTGATACCAACTTGTAACGTCCATTCAAATCAAGTCAATTTAAAACTTTTGCAAACATTCAAAATCATGAGTTATTACAAAAAGGTTTCCAAAATAGTTTCATATCAGAGTATCCCAGAATTTCCAAATCATAAAATGTGAGGATGTGTACGGTCACACCATCGCCTTCCCGCGGTCATCCGATGCACCTGATACAATAATCGATAAATGTAAGCTCGAAGGCTTAGTGAGTTACCCCCAAACTACCCATACACACAATAATACACATATAATAACAAAGATCATACTATGCATCCAATCATCCGTTGGGATGGAATACCCTAGGCCCCTAAACCATCGGGTTGGAATGCCAACATACTATGGGTCCAATCAACAATCGGGTTGGAATACCCCCAGGCCCTCAACCATCGGGTTGGAATGCCCACACACGATACATATATAACAGATACTATGTGTCCAATCATCCATCAGGATGGAATACCCCAGGCCCACAACCATCGGGTTGGAACTCCCACATGCTATGAGTCCAATCATCCTCGGGATGAAATACTCTTGGCACACAACCATCGGGTTGGAATGCCCACAACCAATCAACATGTGCACCTATATCAGATAATCATATAACAACCTATAGAGACAACATACTAGGGTCCTATCATCTTCAGGATGGAATACCCTCAACTACCAATCAATCATGTGCACATATAACAAGTAGTCTCCTACCATCATACAGACAGACAGACCAAACTACAGGTCACTAAGCATACATGCCCCATAGTGTAAACAATCTTAGGCTAAAGGACTATATTCCACAGCAGTTACACTCAGCCAAGAGCTGCGAAGCAGAACCCAACCCTTCAGCCTAAGATCCTTTAAACCATGTAAACTAGCACATACAGATAGTCATACAGACCTAACCGATCACTGATCATAACATCATCCTAAAACCAGGATACAGATCTAATATAGCATCACATCACATAATCACAAGATAAATATGATAACAATCCAAAGGGCCGGCCTTGGTTCCTTTGACCCTTGAGTATAGTGAGGATAACTCACCTAGCAAGTAGTGTCAAAGTACTATAAATCTCTGACTGCTGTCTCACCAGGAATCCCGAACTATTACATAATAGATACTAAGTTAATACTCAAAATAACCTTCTTGACTAAGTGTCCACACAACTCATTAAATCCATTCTCTTTAGTGGGCCAAGGCCTAATACCAAGTCCTTAACTTGAAAGTCCATATATATAAAGTCGATTATTGGCCCAATTTACTAAATTGGGCCCAACATCCTAATTGGACCTAATCCCATGTTCCATTATCACTACTTGGCCCAAAATAACTTATTCATAAAGTCCAGCAAAAGCCCAAATCCAATTAGTCCATAAACAGCCCAAAACCCGAAGCCCATTTGTCAAAGGCCCAACAGAGGACGTACGCGGGTCGTACTCCTCTGGTATGCAGGGCGTACTCGTCCAGATATTGACCACCATCGGGGTGGTTGACCCAGTACGCTGGACGTACTGGATTTACGCTGGGCATACTTCACGGTTTGCCAAAACCTTATTAAGTGCTTAATGGCTTAAGAACTTAAGCCCAAACTTCAGATCCAGTGACCTAACATGCCTAGGACCCATAAAGGCATGAACTTTATCACTTTGGACGTCCATAAAGCTCTTAATACTTGGTCTTAATCCATTAAGACCTTCTTTTTCCATGCATGGGAAACATTCAGGTAATGGGACCTCATTTTTATCACTCAAGGTCCTTTCGAGAGCCTAGAAGGACAGTCCTTTTCATCCAAATCACATCATGCACCACCTTATGGCTTTTTGGGACAAGAAATGGTTCTTTTATAGCAAAATGGAAAGATCTATACATATATGCATAAATTTTGGAGCTTTATACCTTCTGGAGCTTCTAGGGTACAAGCTAACTTCAGATCTACAAGCTTGATCTTCTTCTCCAACTCTTTGATGCAATACCTTCCTCTTAAAGCACTCAAGAAAACACTCAATAAGCTCAAACACACAAAGGAAAGGCTAGGGTTTGGGGAAAACGACTCTAAGCAGTGGAGGCTGAGGTAAGGGAGGGTTGTGTGCTCATAATGTTGCTTATATAGTCCCCAAACCCTAAATATTAGGGTTTAGTTCTGACATGAGTACGCCCAGCGTACACAAGTGTACGCCTAACGTACTAGGGCGTGCCTAGTACGCTCAACGTACCCTTATGTACGCGCACCGTACTCCTCCTGGTCCCAAAATTGCAACTTATCCCTTAGTCTTCTTCATGGTTTCACCCTTCCATCCCCAGGGACTATAAATGACAAAACTTGGGATGTTATAGGTTTAGACAAATCTGATAAGTTGTTTCGTATAATGGTTTATGCATTGTATTCTGCGGAGAATTTTGATATTGGTCATGTTATCTGGGTGCAATTTACTCAGAGTATTTCTTCATCTACCAAGGATTTATATATTTCGATGGCTAGATTTTGGTCTCTAGTGATTAAGAACGCTCGTGATCATTTCAAGGTGTCTACCAAGGCTGATGCATAGATGGCTAAATTCTATGTGTTAAATACTGTTACTTTTACTTCTATCAATGCAAAGGATTTTCACTATAAAGCTCCAATTCCGGAAGTTATGTTGTCTGTTGTTCTGGCTAACAATAAGGTTATCTTAATCTATAGAAAGAATCCAACTCAAGTTGTTCTATCTATGACTCCAAATGAGCTTGCTGCATTAGAAGCTGCTTCTGTTGGTCCGAAAAGGACAGGTAGATAACGAAAAGGGAAATCATCTGTTGAAAGCTCTCCAGCTCGAAAGAAAAAGAAGCCAAAGTATTGAAGAAGATTCGTTACGGTAATAGATAAAGATGATGAGGTTACGATTCCGAATAATCGTGTTGATAATGATATTGGTCTTGAAGATACATGTTTTTCTACTGATATGAATGCTCAGGGTAATCCATCTGTTACAAAAACCTGATGGTAATCCTATTCAAACTAATACTTAAATTTATGATAATATCATGAATGAACCTATTATTACCCTTACATAATCACAATCACCTATTGTAACACCAGTTTCACAACCTCCAATTAATACTCCACCTGTGTTTCATGATGCTACTACCACCACTACAACTCCAATTTCAAAGGTTCCAGTTACATCATCTACACTTCGAACACCTGTTGAAACTGTTGTCCCTGATGTCAATACAGAAGATCATCTCTTTGATGATAATGAAGAATTTTTTGTACAAGATCATCTCCACTTCAAATATTTGTTGAAACTGTCTTGGCTACTTCTCTTCTTAATGATGAGAGTGATTTAGATGATGATGTTGTTGTTGCTCCTGCTACAAGGAAAGATTATCAAATGTTGAATAGAAAGCTTAATGCTTTGGTTAGAAAGGAAGATTCTTCCAATTCCATAAATTTTCAAAATTTGATGATAGGTCATGAAAACAAGATGAAAGCAATTTTGCAAGATTGTACAAAGTTGTTTCCGTCTCAATCTCTACTGGTTAATGAAACAGTAGAAAAAGTTCAAAAAAGCACTTTCTGAAGCCTTTGTTGTTGTATCAAAAGTTGGTGATGTCTTGAATGAAGAGAAAGAGCTTCGAGAAAACAATTGTTGCTGCCAACACAACTTATAATCACGAAGTTATTAATTCAATCAATACTTTGGTCGCTCACTATGATAAAGAAGTTTTTCCGACATATCGAATTTATGATGGTGACATGAAAATTGAATCTCTGCAGAAGGAATGAAGTGATACAAAAACCCTTTGTGGAAAAGTAGATGAAGAATTGATTCTTACCAAAGGCAGGGTGTTTGAAATAAATAAAAGGTTGATTCAAATGCTTGAAACCAAGGACGCTCCATCTGTGAATTACATGGAACAAATGCTTGATATTAAGCTTGCTCTAATTTTCTCATTATTAAAATCAAGTGTTAAGAATAGTGAAGCTAATTCTCAACAAGGGAGAGAAAGGAGGGTATTCATTCGTAATCCTTTTATTGTTCCAAATTTGGTCAAAAGCAAAAAATGCTCCATCAATTGCCATTGGGGAGAGATATATGACAAGAATATTGGATAATACTTGTTTTGCTTGTCAAAAGTTTAAAAGTAGTTCTAGTTCTAGTACAGTAGAAATTGTCCATCAAAAATAAGTTGATCCAAATGATGAACAAGCTTTGAAGCAGGAGAGAAAAGAAAAAGAGGAGGAAGCTGAGAGATTAAGAAAATTACAAGACAAGTTAAACTGTGAGGAAGTTGAGAAAAGAAACTAAGGCAACTTTAAATCTATTTTGGCTTGAATGAACTTTCAAAAGGATTCAAATTGTGGCTATGAAGAAGGTTGAACCATACTGGCTTGAATCACATTCTTCTTATGAGATCGGTAACATTGTTGATATTCAACTTGATTTGCCAATGTGTGGAAGAGTTTTTATATTAAGATGTTTCAATCATATGACAACCATTCCTATTTCCAATGCTGATGAAAACAAGAAGTTATTTCAATTTTATGTGAAAAATTCATTTCCATAGTACAAATTTTGGTCATTAAAGAAAAATGTTGGAATCAAGAAGATAGAGGAGATCAAGATTGGAGAATTCACGAATTATAAGTTTTCTGTGATAAAAGGTGAAGCTAAAGAAGAATGGGAATTGTTGTGTGGAAGTTGGCAAGATGGATAATGAATTATTGTGTGGAAGTTGGCAAGATGGATAATGATATCGCAACAATCGTGAGAAGGAATGTCACAGTTAAACCAATAAAACAACCATAACTTTTTGAAAGATGTAAGAGAAGGAATGATTCAGAAGAATCCATGGGGAATTGTTTACAAAGTTCATGAAGACAGAATGTTAAAGAATAAGTTGTTGTTTTTGGATAAAAACATATTTTCAGTTCCAATACGTTAAAAAAATATTTTATCCTGAGCTGAGATGTACAAGGGAAATTCAATTGAAGATGTGAAGTGGGTTGCAAAAGTGATCAGATGGTGGATCTGTGTTCACTTGGTGTTGAAGGAAAATGCAACTGAAGTTTTTTTGGAAGAATGAAAGATGAAGCTTATTTTGAAACTCAATACAATAGGGAGATGGTTAGGTTTATATTTATATTTGTGTACTGATTTGTATTGAAAAAACAATGTTGTTACAATTTTCATGTTTAGTCTGTAAATGCGAAAGTTGGGTTCACAATCGTATCATTTTATTTAGGTTCGCAGTCTGTTTCTTTAATAGCCGTTTTTATCCTTGGTGTCATGACTTCATCAGTCAGGTGCCTTTCTAGCTTTCTATTACAGGTATAAATAGCAAGTTAGTTAGAGAGGGAGAGAGAGAGAGAGAGAGAGAGTAACTTTTGAAGGAGTCTTGTATCTTTGTAATCGCAATCCTTTATTCTCTAATAAAATCAAGATCTTATTTATGCCTTATGTTCTACTTGATTACATAATTCATTTTTGCTGATTTCATTCTCTTTGAATCTAAATGATCTAATACACCAATACCGACCACCAGATTATATTAAGTATTATTGTATATAGGATGTTGCTATGATGTAGTGATATTGTAAAGGACCTTGTGATTGTGCTTTGGAATGGTTTTGCATGGGTGTAGGTCTGGAAAATTATGGGATTTCAGAATTATAGTAGTAACATATCGTTTCGACAGCAAGGATCGGTCAGTGATTCTGTTTTCAGTGGAAACAACAAGATAATCAAGGAATGGAAGTGTTATGATCAGTTGGAATATGAAGTGGAATTGTAATGTCAGTGTTTCACCATGGGCTGTCTGTCAGGGTTCAGACATGGTTTTGGATTTTGGGCAGAGTAGTAATGGTTATTCTTCAAGGGTAGTGGAAGAAGTGTTCTAGTTGTTCGGTGTGGCTGGGAGGTAGTAAGGAGTGATTTTGAGGTCGAACTCTAATTTATGTGGGGGAGAGTTGTAACATCCATTTTCTTGGATGTATCGAATTAGAATTTCAGAGGGTCAAAGGTTGGATTTTTGGAGAAAAATGGGTCCTCGCGACGTGAGGCATGGAGGCTCATGACGTGAGGAGGGCTACATGAAGATTCTATCCGGGACTAAGCTCACGACGTGAGCAATAAGAGCACACGACGTAAGGATCGTTGCAGCCCAAGCCCAAGAAGTTTTAGGGTTTTCCACGTATTGAAGCCCCCTTAACTCGGTTTTAAGGTTCATTTCTCAACCTCCACCTTCCCCTAACTTAGAAAAACCCTAACCCTAATCCATCTTGGTGATTTTGGATCCATTTTAGTGTTTTGGTGGCTAGTAGAAGAAGAAGAAAAGGTTCTAGAGTGTTGGTTCAACAAGGAGGCTTCATCATCATCATCTTGTGCACATTTTGGACCATTGTAAGTGTCCAAGATCCAATCTTTATGAGTTCAAATTGGTAGATCTAGGTTCTAAGCTCCTTTTTGCATGTTTATGTTGGATTGCATGCTTGGGATCCATAAAGTTGGTACTTTATGGATGAATGAGTCATTCTCTATGATTTAGTCATATGGATATGAAGTACGGTTATAATTTATGAATCTTGCTTGAGTTTGGGGCCATTTCTTGTCATTTTGACTTAGATGGGCTTAGGACATGTTTGGGGAATGCATGTCCATCAAGTAATCGTTTCTATTGGCCCTTGGAGTCCTTTTTAGCTTCTGGATGAATTAGGATGGAAGGCTTAATGGATTAAGGACTTAAAATTAAATTTTTAGCCTCAGATTGTTATCACGACATGAGACACAAGGTCTCACGACGTGAGGAATGTTTGGTCCCATTTCTGGTCATCTGCTTGAGGCTCACAACGTGATAGAAGGCTTCTGACGATGTGAGGGCAGCCCCGTTGACTTTCCTTTGACTAAGTTGGCTAGGTTGAGTCGTGACGAGTTGGGATCTGATTGAGTGAGCTCTCATGTGACATCCCAGAATTTAGGTCAAAGGATGTGAACGGTCAAGTTCATGGTAAGTCTCTTGGTAAATTGACTCATTGAATTTTAGTGCATCTAGTGTTGTAACATCCATAAATTCAAGCCAATTTAAAACTTTTTCACCCATTTAAAAGCAATTAATTATTACAAAGTGTTTTCAAAATAGTTTCATATCAGAGTATCCCAAAAATCAAAATCATAAAATGTGAGGAGGTGCACGATCACGCCTTCGCCTTCCCGCGATCATCTGAAGTACCTGAAACAAAATCAACAATTGTAAGCCCGAAGCTTAGTGAGTTCCCCCAAAATACCAACACCATACAATCAAAACAATATCATAGAAAAAAGCATGCATATATAGAGTGTACACTACGACTGGTCCGCCCTCACCTGGCCTTCAGTCTACCTGGTCCACTCTCAGAATCTTCAATATGACTGGACCGTCCTCACTGGGCCTTCAGTCTATCTGGCCCACTCTTAGAACCTGCAGCATGTCTGGTCCGCCCTTTCGAGCCTTCAGATCACTAGCATAACATCATCCTATAACTAGGATACAGATCTAATAGATCACAGACATAACATCATCCTATAACCAGGACACAATCCAAAAGGGTCGGTCTTAGTACCTTAGACCCTGTTGATATAGTGAGAAGAACTCACCTTACAAGTAGCACTAGATGATAATGTTAAACACCTAAACACAACTCCAAACTCAAACACTTACAATCATCATAGAACCAATTCTATCACGACCCAAATTGTCACACCCCAAAACCGAGAACGGTGGAAACATTCTGGGGTGGAGGACGTCATGTACAGTATCATAACAATGCATAATAGTAAAGAAAAGCAACAACATCCATTGCATTAATATAATAATTGTAATACAAGCGTGTTCTGTATAGTTTATAAGACACCAAAAGTATAATAAAAATAAAAGATGAGTCTTGTATGTGCTCCATCTTCTCAAAAGCTTCATCTGTACCTGTCTATTGATGACCTGAGAATACAAGTTATTTTGAAAGCGAGTATCAGTATAAAGCTGGTGAGTTCATAAGTATTTAGTGTCATTGCTTGTATAAAAATGTTAGTAACAATGTAGTGTAGTAATTTACTTCAAGTGTTTTGGAATTAGTATATTCCCTAGAAAACCCTATGTTTTCCAGTAAAAAGGTAGTCTTCTACAAGACCCGATTGTTTGTATAATTGTTCTTTTGTAAATGTAAGGGTTTTTCCTTTGTGAAACTATTAGTATAAAAAAAATATAGTTTACTTAAACGAGTATGTGACAAAGTCACAAAGTAATGAAATACAGACCCCAGGTAGTACTGAATGAACAATACGCCTCGAAAAGTCTATAGTAGTAATATGTAG